CTGGCACAAATCCTGGGAATGACGTCCTTATAGCTCATCCTTCTTGCAGTCTCCACTCTGAATCAGTTTCACTGTGTCAGAAGGTCTCACCATCATCCATGCATACTTGCACAGCCGCTCCTTGTTGCAGTCTTTTTGCCAGTAGATGACATTTCTGCGATTCAGATTGGCGCCGGCGCAGGCGTCGTACCACCAGCCTCCTCCCGGCACCCCTTGAAACTCCAGTTTGGCACAGTTCTGGAAGTAGTTATCATTGTCTCTGTCTTTAGTGGTGAATTTCTGGTTGTCATGGAGATAGTTCTCTGTATCCAGCGTCAGAGCGTCTACGGTCGTTCCCTCAAACAACCCCAGTCTCAGTCTATAAGCTGATGCTTCATCCTCCACCAGGAATGGATCATACTCTCCCATCTTTGTGACAGCATCTTGGTCCACAAGTTTTATTCCTAGTTTATAGCGTGCAGGCCCACGGGTAAGCTGATGAAGGTAGTCATTCCCAAGCCAATGATCTCCAGTGATAAAACCAAAGCCTTTCTTATATTCAGCCCAAGTGCAATCAAAATTCACACTGCTATTCACAGTAATGTGCTGCACCACGGTCCAGCCTCCCTCCTGCATGGCACAGTAGGCCACAATGGGGAGTCCCCTGGTTGGATCAGGTACACTCCGTCTCTGGCCCGGCCTGAAGAGGCCATCAGCATTTCATAGCAGTCTCTGGGCAGCACTGTTGAGCAATTAAACATCAGTCATATCAATCAGGGCAATCAGAATTACTTTATGGCTAAGAATTAGGCAGGTTTATCATATACATCACACATCGAGTCTATTACTCCATTACCAGCTTTTTTGATAATTACCACATATTTGTTTTGTCTTCATTTAGTACAAAAAGGTTTAACGTGTGAAAATGACAGTTATTTCACAAAGTTTATGTACTGATCCTCGACTCAGTGGAGTAGCTTTCTAAATTCTGTAATATTATCGTGATTGAAATGTGAAATTTAAATAACTTAAACAAATTACAAGCTGCTAGTAGGTGAGCTTTTCAGCTGCACATTCGTTTTGAAGTCTTCAAAAGGAGACGCAGAAGCTTTGTTTGCTTTTCCCAGTTTTTACACCAAGCTAACTAGCTTGCTAACATTAGCGTCTAGCTTAGAGAAACAGAACCGCCCCCCAACTGTTTTTCAAATTGCCAAACAACTTCTTTAAACCCAATCCATGCACAATTTGGTTATGTCTAATTTAAGGACCCCTCAGGTGTTCAGTGAATAGTTGCGGTCTGGTACAAACAATGCAGGTCAGGAATTGTAGTGATGTCTAAAAATTTGCTTACCTTGTATTACTTTCCACCCAAGGCATGATTAGATTTAAACACAAGTGCTAAAAGTCTATAAAAAATCCAGTACTTTATGAAAATGATCATTTTATTTATTTGAGGGACAAAATATCAGATCTTCTACTTTTGGAATCTGGTTTATTGTGCAGCTGTTGTGCAGCAATAAATAGCTTTAAATAAATTTACACATGGCCCAGATGGACTACAACATGTCCAAACCATCCTACTCCTTCAATTGTGCCTTGGAAAACATTTTTATGATGTCATGTTTCTTTTCTTCAAAGATAATCTTTCTAATATTACCAACAACCTTACGTGAACAGAAAGCTGTAGACAGGCAGAAATGTTGCTTTGAGAGAGCCGTGGCTTTCTGCTTGCAGCACTTGCAATGCACACTGCTCTTGTTCACTGTTCTCCTGATAATTTTCTTAAGAACATTGATATTAACCAATGTGAGAGAGGCCTTTACTTACAAATCACACTCTTGGAATAAAGTCTGCTGATCTGCTTTACATGGACAGGGTAACAATTCTGTCCAACATTTCTGAATGTGAAAGGACCGTCTGTCTGATCACATTCAAAAAATATGTTTCTGTACAAAATAATTTCTCAATGTTTCCCAGGTAAGCACAATAAAACATTGCTTTTCTAAAAGTTTTCTAATAGATTGCCTTTTAACAATGCACAAATAACCTCAGAGGACCTAATGCTTATCATCAGTGAGTCAATAAGCGATTTGGATCTAGAGGTTGGAATTAAACTCACATCCACAAGAGTAATCTTCACAGATAATCACAGATATGAATGTATTCAGCGTTTAAAAAAAATCAAATGATTTTCCAGACTAGTGTTTTGAAAATTCTCCCAAATCATGTTCAGCTTTTGTCCAAATCCACAACTGAAACAGACAGGAAAGAAAAGTCAAACAGGAAGTGAAAGCCTGCATAAATAAATACCTCTCATTCCACGGTTCAGGACCAATTTATGCTCATCTGGTGAAAGGAGATTTAGGTTTTCAGCTTGGAGATGCTCCATGTCAAGTCCAGTCACACTAAGCAGCAGCAAAACCACTGCTGGCGACAGGCATCTCAAATACTTCATCCTTTACTTTTTCTGTGATCAAACCAACAGCATTTTTTTAGTGATATGAGCTGATGTAACAAATACAAAACTCTATCCATCCATCTATTTTCCTCCGCGTATCCAGGCCGGGTCTCAGGGGCAGCAGCCTAAGCAGACAACCCCAGACCTCCCTCTCCCCGGCCACCTCCTAATACAAAACTGTGCTGAAGAAATATAAAATCAAAGCGCTTACATTAAGTAGAGCCACCTGTGTCCTGAAACACAGTGTAGAAATGTGTTGTCTGTACCAGAACCGTCTCCCACTCTGTATTTGTCTCCTCTGATCGAATGACAAGCAGCAGAAACACAAACACAATGGCCGACAGCTGAGTTCGGATTGAGAGACTGAATTGCAGTGCCCGTGCCTAGCTAGAGTTGGACTTTATCCTCAGGTTCACCTTAAAATGATAGACACCAGTCCTCGACTTATCTGTGCAAAGTGAGATAAAACCCACATTTAAACACATATCTCTGCCTTACTTAAATCACTTCAACTGTGAATGAGGTTTAAAGTCCAGCTGAGACTGAACTCTAAAGGTTCAGCCTTTGCTCATTTCACTCCTCCTCCTATTGAGTGTTTTTGTGAGTTAATTGGAGTGTGAAAGCCCCTGATCTCAACTGGTGTTTGCCCTCTGCTTCAACACAAGCCTATTATCTTGATTTATATCTAACAAGCGTTGTGTTCTGCTACAGTACTTAACGTTGGTGATTCTGTAACCTCCTGTATCATTAGTAGTTTAGACCCTTGTTATTTGTTGGACACTGGGATATGTATGAGAAAAAAAAAACTGCCCCATAGGACTTGTATATATCCAGAAGTATTAGAGTAGTACACAGAGTACGGTTTCATTTTTGAGTTAGCACGCTGCACAGAACTGAAGCATGTTCATTGCATTTTACACATAGAATTGATTAAATGACCTCTTTTTAAATTCTGATCTCTTTTATTTCTTTATGTCATGTAACATCCATCAGTCTTTCCTCCCCATGTGAATTCTGCTGATTGTTTTTGCCTTCAAATTTTACCCATTTCAGAAGCATAAACACTAAAGAGCCAGAAACATCTGGTTCTTTAGTGTTAGTTGACCTTTTTCAAAGAGTGTTGCTTGTAATCTGACAGTTTAGTTCAAGAGTAGGGGAGACCGGGGATAGTTGTAACGTGGGTCAGTTGTAACACTTCCAATTTCTCCAATCAGGGCTAAGTTTCAAATGATGTGATTAATCCTGTGCATGCCCAACTCAGTTGTGCTATCACATGTGAAAAATCAGCACATTTTGTCAAACACAAACAATTTAACACGAAAAAAAGTAATTTGTATGCCAAAAAGTAAGTTTTTCTACTTTATTTCAATGTTTAATAGCATTATCTGCTTTGCAGTTAAACTCATCAAACTTAAATTGTGTTATTTGTATGTCTATGGGGATATATTCTGTGCAGGTCTTTGGTGCTAATGTTTTAGCCGTTGGCTGTAATGTTAGCTAGTTCATGGCTATAGGAGTCTGGGTCAGTTGTAACAGCAACAGTCTGGGTTAGTTGTAACAATAATGCAGATGTTACCACACTATTACTTTAACTTATATTAAACAAGTTGGGGCAACGACATCAGCAGAGAGAGGTTCACTGGTCGCATTTGTATATGCGGTTAATGCCATTGGCAACACAATTCCTCCACTGTTTGTGTTCCCACACACACATTATGCAGACCACTGTGTCAGAGATGGACCAGTAGGAAGTACTGGTAGTGGAAATAAATCAGGATGGATGCAAGAAACAGATTTCCTCATCTTTCTGAAGCACTTTGCAAACCTCACCAAGGTAAGCCATGATAAAAAGTAATGGAATTGTGATGCTGGTGAACAACTACATTTTTTCAGCTTCATTGTTATGTTCAAAATTGGTGCAAGAGTTGTAGGTTATAATGCCCACTGAGCCAATGAGGCCAAACTCAAGGAAGACCAACCAAAATGAATGAAATATTCAGTTGCAGAAAATTCCATAATTTGTCTTTTTTGGGGGGTTGGAATATGTTCAAAAGCTAGATTTCTGCATTCTGTCACACACACACATAACTACATAAATGGCTCTAAGTGCATTCATGTGTTGAATAAACAAAGATTACATGTTAATGTTTTGTTAGTACTCTTATTTCATTGTGTTACATTTCACCCCAGGATATGTTACAACTAACCCAGACTATGGGGTTAATTGTAACATTTCACTCTTTGTGTTTGAGACCATACCATGCAATGGGTAATTGTGCTGCAGAGAAAATAGCTGCACTATTTAATAGCCGAGACATGTAAATACTTTGCATTACATTTTGAATCCACTACCTTAAAAGAGCTCCAATTTACAGACAGAAATGTCAAAAATGTTACAACTATCCCCGGTCTCCCCTAGTTCAACTTAAGGTAAAGACAGTCATATACAGTTTTACGGAAGATGCAATTGTTGTTTTTGCAGCCATAAAACAGAAATATTAGTGGCATCCCTTTTTAGTGTTTTTGTAACATATCATTATAATATCAATCACAAATGACAAAAAAGTGTTAATCATTAATGAAGCAGTTAAAAGGACAAAAATCTTACAGTCATCACAATATCTGCGTTGTGAAAATAAGTGGATAATTATTTACAAAATACTACTTTGCTACTTAAGAGAGAAATTATCGGCCTTGTCACACCATTGCTGTTGTAGACATTGCTCAATTCTTTAGTTGCTTAAGCTGCTCTGCAAATACATCCAGCCCACACTAAGAGCCAGTCAGTGCAAACGTCAGCAGCTACTATGAATAACACTTTCAAAACTAAGGAGACTGTTCATGCGCCCTGAGGCGAATAAAATTGAATTGAACTGTTAACGGAGAACGATGCGTTCAGGATCTTCACTGCTGACATGTGAGTTTAGACAGGAAGGAATCGATGACCTAAGGGGCAAAAAGATGTACATAAAATGCAAAAACATAAACACACACACATATATACACATATAACTAACAGTGTTAAATTCTGCATGTTTACCTTTGCCATGTCTCCTGCAGGTCCTGGAACAGACTTCAAAAAGGGTTCCTGCTGCCACAATTCCCATAACTGCTGATTAAAAACTTGAAAGTTTCTGCAACAAAGGAATAAATCATACAACTCTGGCAAATTAATGTCAAAAGATTGTGCTTTTTTTTTTTTTAAATTAAAAATAAATATATTAAACTTACTCATCCAGCAGAGAGTTTGTTGAGCCACTGAAGCCACTATCTTTTAGATCCTCCCACCAGTTTTTTAAAACTGAATTTACCCACTTTAGGCCAACAGTAAGATGCCTATAAAAGAAAATACAAAAAATAATTATCCTGCTGCTAAACACAATGTTATTGTACATGTGTAAAGTGTTTTATTCAGCAGGATTACTCACTCTTCATATGGACTGCTGAAGACTTTGCCAACTAAAGGAAAGAGGTCGACACAACAGCCGATGGTTATCTTTGAAGAATCCTCATCAATGCTGCAGGGAAAATATAAAAATTATTGTAGTAACACTATAATCTCAGTGTTACTAGGATATTTGCAAAACTCAGTGCTCACCATTTGCTTATGAGCGGGAGAAAGTCAACAAACACACCAGTATCTTGGATACTGTACAAAAAATATGATGTAATCAAACTTTGGAAATACTAGCAAACAAGCATTGGCGCATGTTTGAAAGCAGCCGCACGGCGCACACCTCAGAAAGTATGTCAGCAGCTCTCCAACATTTCTCTGCCACAACGTTAAAGCCACTTTGAGTCTTAGATTTCTTCCAAAAAGCACGTCAGTCAGCGTGTTGTGATCCCTCGTGAGCTGGAAAACATAGTCAGCTTTAAGTAGTTTCAGCTGCGTGTTTGCAAGAAAAGTAATTCATAAAACAATGCAAACGTCTTACTGACCTCAGTCAGTACACAGTAGTCAGCCTCTTCACAACCAGTTCTATCAGTTCCTTGGTTGTTATTGATATTATTGACATGAAATGGGAAATCCCAGGGGTCCATACTGAAAATATCCTGCTGTGTGCCCTGCAAGACTTTTGTTTCATTTTCCTTGTTTGGAGCATCACAAGTTCTCCCAGACCCAAGCTGCTTTCTTCGAGCCACAGTCAGATGATGAGTCTTCCTTTTACATGACACTACCCGCTTCACTCTGCCTGGGTTGTTCCCAGAGCGGCTAACCGGGTATCTGGATGGGGTAAAATTCCAAATATAGCTTTTAATCAAAAACAAATGGCTGTAAAAAAATGCAAAACAGGCAGGAAATACCTCTTTTTGTTGCACTCTTCATTTGCAGCATCATCCGCCTGAATTTAAAAAGACAAAACATGGCGATGCACAAACACAGCTAGAGGCATAAAAAGCACCAGGAACCAGAAATAGATTTGTGCAACATAATGACCAACCCAGCTCACCTGTTTTGTGTTTCTCCCTTTAGGATAGCTCACTTTGTACTGTGCTGCATCATGATGCAAGCGATCCTCAACATTTTGGCTCTCTGCATCTTCAGTGTTGGGGTCCATTATATCTAAAAAGAAAGGATATATGAATGAGTTAACAAATTTATAAACACGACAAAATACATACATACCTCACTGAACCTTAGAGCCTTTGCCTGAAAATCATCTAAGATCAACTTAATGTATTATTTATATAATTTTTGCTCATTTCCTAACTTTTACCATTTTTGTAAGACAAGATAAAAACTTTTAAGGCGATTAAAAAAAATGCATATCACAGGATTTTAGAGCTTAACAGTGTATGAATCTTGTGTTTCTGGCCATAAATGGCTACACATTGTGGACAGTGTAAACATTATCTTGTCCCCACAACATACGGGCTACACATGTCCAAATACACCGTTTACCACTGCAAACAAAGTAAGATAGTAATAATACATTTTTCCCAGTAAATCAATCATTAATTATTCATCTAATATTCTGTTTATAACGCGACACGCTGAAAAACAACATCTCCCACAATCCACTCGGCCATTGTTATCGTTCTGCACATGACGTGGTCAGGAAGCGCTCTCCAGCCAGAACAGCTGGTTGAGTTTAGCTTAGCTGTAACTTTTTGAAGTTTTTATTTTTCTGAATATATGTAATTTATTCAGAACAGAAGTCGTTTGTGCTTTTGGAGACGATCATTCACTGCCTTTAGCTTAACTGTAAGTGTTGTACAGAGGCATGAATTTCTTTGTTTCCTATTGCACTTAATGCAAAGTATTAGCTTTGAATTATCGCTAACAAGTAATTAAGCCAGGTAGCTAACAGTCAGGTAGCTAACAGCTAACCAGACAAAAAGAAAGAAGCTTTTTAATTGTGTTCCAACCAGCGGTCGAGGAAATACATGTGAAAATAAATGCGTCACAGCATTTAAAGTGAAATAAATAAACAAACCTGTAAGCGTTCACAGTAAATATGATGTACTCACTTTGCGCTGCTTCTCCAAACAGAGATATGACAGTTAAACACTTTGATTATTTTTACGCAACTAGCCGGCGGTACCGCCCATCATTGGAGAATAAAGCAGCCTATTCATCATTCAGCTGTTGGACTGTGCACCCTCTATCGGCTATTGACACAGTGTTGGTGCACGTTTCACAACCAAAACACACAGCTAAGAGAATCGTCAATGATCAGCCTAACTGACAATTAATGTAACTGATAGATCAGATCAGCTGGTATAGTAGATTTTGACTCAATTAAAAAGCACGATTTTGTCTTCATGGGCTGTGACACTGATAGTGTCTTTGTTCTGGTAAGTCCAGCATAGCAGCTGCTTGCCTTTGCATTTAATTGATCTGAGGCAAGCCATAGCATGTGAGCTTACCTCTTCTGTCTTTCACTGCAGGACTGCACAATGAAAAGCAACATCACATGCTTTTATTGTCACATCATCTATTTCTAAACTTGTTGCTGACTCTGCTGTTTTGGTTCTGCAGTTTCATGGGCTGAATGGAGGTTAACTGATTTGGACATACTCAACAGAGACCAAAACACAGTATGTGACTTTGTTTATCCTAACTACTCAGCATGTGTAAACCTCCCCTGAGGTCATGTCATTTACTGGAAGGCTTTAAATATCGTCAATATTTCCAAATGTTTTTATACTAGTGCCTTTAGAGTCATGTGATTTTTGTTATGAGAAGTCGGAGATCATGTGATTCAAGTGTGTGTGTGTGTGTGTGTGTGGGGCTTCTTTAATCAGACGTTTGTTCCCTGAGGTCCAGCATTAAAATGTCGCCTGTTCACGCTGCCTGTGCTTTGCTATTTGCTGCACCCCTGCTGGTGCTCAGTGTTCCTCCTATTTGGACCCAGCCAGAACAGGTGCACCTCTCCTATGGAGGTAAGTGTTTGACCTTTTCCACCTGACACATGTGGGATACAGTTTTTCCCCTTGGTCAAAGGAGCTTGCAAATAAAAGCGTCTGGACTTCTTTAAGTTGCTTGAAGACGTTTCACCTCTCATCCGAGAAGCTTCTTCAGTTCTAAGGTCAAATGGTGGAGACCCACACCCAGTTTCACACCTTGGCTCAGGTGATTAGAGGATCATCAGGGGGTCCTTTTGTCCCTCTTTGGGGGGAAACTCCCACTAGGTTTAAATCTGGGACTCTCCACCATTTGACCTTAGAAGAAGCTTCTCGGATGAAACGTCTTCAAGCAACTTAAAGAAGTCCAGACGCTTTTCTTTGCAAGCTCCTTTGACTACGATGACCTGGATGACTGAGAACCTTCACAGACATATTTTTCCCCTTTGAAATACACACAAGTATCCAGGTCACTTGCAGATTTACAGATGTTTTGTACAAATTGCTCAATATTCTGTTAACTGACTACATCTGACTTTTTTTCAGGCAGGTTCACAGAAATATTCCCTGACTGTATTTTTTGTCATGTAGGTTGAGGACACCGTTTAATTACCTAAACTTCCAAACCTGTATCTAATGCAGCATAAAAACCCTTTTGTTCTTTTCTTATGAAGGTGAAACATGTGGTACTCATTATTGAACTGATGTCTTTATGCAAGTACCTGGCCAACTCAAGTCTGCCTTTATAATGCTTCATCTTGCCAGCAGCAAGATCAAAAGTTCCACTCTTGTAAAGTCAGCTTTTTCACATCAGCATCTTTTGGCTTTAATAAATGCACCAGTAAGTGTATCCAATGTTCCTGTCAGACAAATCTGCATCACATTTCAAATAAATGGACTTTTCTTCTTCAGGAATGCCAGGCACTATGGTAGTGACCTGGACAACCTTCAATGAGACAGAGAGCAAGGTGGAGTATAGCCTTCTGGGGGCTCGGCTCTTTGAGATGAGCGCCATAGGACACGCGACTCTGTTTGTTGACTCGGGAACGGAAAAGAGGAAGATGTTCATTCACAGGGTCACACTCAGAGGCCTCAAACCGGCAGCTTCGTATGGTGGGTGGAGTTTTTATATAGCTGACATTAGGGTGGCTGTATCTGTAGGTCCTTTATTAATTAGATGGTTGGTGGTTTGATCCCTAGCTGCTCCAGTGAGTATGCCTAAAATACTGAAACCCACCTTGGTGTGTGAAGGTTAGATAGAAAGCACTTAGGTAGAAAAAATGCTTGTACGTATGGATGAATGAGGGATGTTATATAAAGCTTTACTTTAAGTACTCATGTAGAGTAGAAGAGCACTCTATACAAACGAATCTATTCTCCATTTAGCTTTTGGCTCTCACACCATCTCATGGATCACTTAACTGTGAAACTTTTTTCCTACATTTTTTTCCAGTCTACCACTGTGGCAGTGAAGAAGGCTGGAGCGACGTGTTCTTCTTCACTGCTCTTAATGACAGCACTACGTCCAGTCCCAGGTTTGCTTTTTATGGTGACCTCGGCAATGAGAACCCCCAGTCTCTGGCTCGACTGCAAAAGGAAACTCAGCTCGGAACGTACGATGTCATCTTACACATAGGTAACTTCTACCCTTCTAGATATTTTATCATTCATCATTGTAAAAGAGGCATTAAGTTATATAAACCGCAGCTTAAGGCATTAGTCATCCACAGCTTGTATTAACATAAATCAAATCAATTAAGCCAGCTGACATCCGACAGAGATATCTAATGAGGAGGCAATATATCATTGTGGTAATTACTGTAATTACCATAATAACACAGAGTCATCATTTGCACTTATTTGCTTTGAGCATTATGGGATGGATTCTGGTCACTAGCCTGCTATTCATCACTTCACTGATTAAACTGCAGAGTGTAGGTTTTTGTTGTGAACCTAGTTTTGATTCACTGGATCGCCAGCTTTTATAATCTCTCCATTTTTAATAATAGGAAATAATGTTTCTTACCTTTTTATTTCTCCTCAATGTAAACACTAAGTGAACTACCTCTCCCGCTGGTTCAAGAAGGCACAGCAGTACAATTTGCAACACAACTTGCTGAGGGGGTTAATAATATATTAGTTCTTAAATATAGACATCTGAGTGATCTTAATGCTGTGAAGTCATAATGTATGAATAATGGGTGAAGCAGTGCATTTAGTTATTTTGTACCAGTCAAATGTCATTCATAGATTTTGTGTTTGTGTAATATTGGTAATATTAAAAGTGGGGAAAAAAACCTTTACCTCACATTTTGCAATATTTCGCTAGATATTCTATTTGGTACAGTGACATCAAATATCAATATTTTGTTAAATAATTCACGAACAAGAACGCTCATGTCATGCACCACCAACCTGAGAAAATGTTACATTAAACTGGTTCAATCAAAAAACCATCCTCCTAATTCAGAGCAAGCTAATGGCTCAGAAACAAAAACACAAGTATCAATTTTTGTGAAAAAAAATCACGAAAGAAAAAAGGAAAATGCATGAAAATCATCAAATAATAATCAACCAATCCTTGAAATCTAGTTCCTCCAATAAAAAACAGTAAAGTGTAAACTTTACTGTTTTAAACATATTGGCCTTTAAGTTGACATTTCTTGTTCTTGAGTTAAAAAGAGTCAGGATTTCTAAGGATCATCTGAAGTTTAAAGTGAAAGAGAGCAACTGTTGACAAATGGCGCTTTATCACAAGCAGTTACACAAAGTTAGAGATCAGCAGATTTATGTACATCTCTGCTTCAAATACCAGTTTACATTTTTCAAGTGTGATGACTGATGGCTTAAAATGGTTTATTTATACTTTTACAATAATTCTGTCATCGCTGGACATGTTTGCTGTTGTTCAACATCTAAATCACCAAACTGTGGAAGCAGTTCTTGTAAAGACTGGTGCAGCGATCGTGTCTGTGCCGGGAATAAGAAAATAGAGAGAAACTGTTTAATTTAGTTTCCCATAATAACAGAAAGCAAGGAAAAGCAAGATGATGTAATCCCCCGTGAAACTATAAACTGTCATTTATACATTTTGGGGTTTTGATGATAGGCACAGTCAGACTAGTTGTCTCCCAGTTTCTAGCTGCGTTGTGGTTTTAGCTTCATTATGTTTAGCTTCTTTATATCTAACACTAGAAACGAAACAGCAAAATGCCA